GAAGCAACAATCACAGTGTACATCTACACATAATGGTTTATCCAGAGGTATGGAAGCAACAATCACAGTGTACATCTACACATAATGGTTTATCCAGAGGTATGGAAGCAACAATCACAGTGTACATCTACACATAATGGTTTATCCGGAGGTATGGAAGCAACAATCACAGTGTACATCTACACATAATGGTTTATCCAGAGGTATGGAAGCAACAATCACAGTGTACATCTACACATAATGGTTTATCCAGAGGTATGGAAGCAACAATCACAGTGTACATCTACACATAATGGTTTATCCAGAGGTATGGAAGCAACAATCACAGTGTACATCTACACATAATGGTTTATCCGGAGGTATGGAAGCAACAATCACAGTGTACATCTACACATAATGGTTTATCCAGAGGTATGGAAGCAACAATCACAGTGTACATCTACACATAATGGTTTATCCAGAGGTATGGAAGCAACAATCACAGTGTACATCTACACATAATGGTTTATCCGGAGGTATGGAAGCAACAATCACAGTGTACATCTACACATAATGGTTCATCCGGACGTATGGAAGCAACAATCACAGTGTACATCTACACATAATGGTTCATCCCGAGGTATGGAAGCAACAATCACAGTGTACATCTACACATAATGGTTCATCCCGAGGTATGGAAGCAACAATCACAGTGTACATCTACACATAATGGTTCATCCGGAGGTATGGAAGCAACAATCACAGTGTACATCTACACATAATGGCTCATCCCGAGGTATGGAAGCAACAATCACAGTGTACATCTACACATAATGGTTCATCCCGAGGTATGGAAGCAACAATCACAGTGTACATCTACACATAATGGTTTATCCAGAGGTATGGAAGCAACAATCACAGTGTACATCTACACATAATGGTTTATCCGGAGGTATGGAAGCAACAATCACAGTGTACATCTACACATAATGGTTCATCCGGAGGTATGGAAGCAACAATCACAGTGTACATCTACACATAATGGTTCATCCCGAGGTATGGATACAACAATCACAGTGTACATCTACACATAATGGTTCATCCCGAGGTATGGAAGCAACAATCACAGTGTACATCTACACATAATGGTTCATCCGGAGGTATGGAAGCAACAATCACAGTGTACATCTACACATAATGGTTCATCCCGAGGTATGGAAGCAACAATCACAGTGTACATCTACACATAATGGTTCATCCGGAGGTATGGAAGCAACAATCACAGTGTACATCTACACATAATGGTTCATCCGGAGCTATGGAAGCAACAATCACAGTGTACATCTACACATAATGGTTCATCCGGAGCTATGGAAGCAACAATCACAGTGTACATCTACACATAATGGTTCATCCGGAGGTATGGAAGCAACAATCACAGTGTACATCTACACATAATGGTTCATCCGGAGCTATGGAAGCAACAATCACAGTGTACATCTACACATAATGGTTCATCCGGAGCTATGGAAGCAACAATCACAGTGTACATCTACACATAATGGTTCATCCGGAGGTATGGAAGCAACAATCGCCAAAGAATTATTTTCCATATCAGTTAAAAGATATAAGCTTAGATACACATTATTCATTGGAGATGGTGACACAAACAGCTTCAAAACACTTTCTGATTCAAAGCCATACGGTGACACCCTGTTGTGAAGATAGAATGTGTCGGGCACGTGCAAAAAAATAGAATGGGAACCCGACTACGGAAGATCAAGAAATTTTTTTTTTTTTTTTTCAAAGTGAAAGAAACTGTCAGATGGGAACAATATTGGTGGAAAGGAAAGGTACTCTATTCAGAAATATTATGGGAATGCAGTTAGAGATAATAAGAATGACTTGAAAGGAATGCGAGAGGCTGTTTGGGCTCTATAATTTTACAAACTCTCCACGGATCAAAAGCCTGTTCACAATCTCTGCAAAATTAGTTTGTGCTCATATAAAATAGCTGTTGCTACCACACAGAAAAAGATTATAAACTTAAAATATCTCTGCCTGCAGCAGTTATGGATGTCATCAAGCTAGTTTTCAGAGGGATTCTGTCCAGAAACAAATGTTTCGTCCTTTTTAGGACGAAATTTTTCGTTATTTGAAGCCCCACCCTGACTTTTGCCAGTGGCCGCAATATAGTCAGGTCATAAATATGGCCAATTGTCTGAACGCGGTTTCTGGAACCTCTCCACTGCGATCCTCATCCACATGGTGGCACTTTGTGTCATCGGGTGTTTATCGCTTGTGTGATGTCCTGGTGGGGTAGAAAGTCAGTCAGTCAGTTTCAGAGACACTTTGAAAAATCAATTGTTGAGAAAATGTCTAGATGGCTACACCCAGAACGCTAAAGAATCAATCAACAGCACAAATCAGCGACCTTGCCCCAAACACTAGTACCATGGATTAGTAGCTGTTAAGATTGCAGTACTCATTTTCAATGATGGAGCAAAAGTCCTAGAAGCACCACTTGTGGCAATGCAACTACTTAGTGGACGTTTCAAGACATAATTTGTCATCTCTACTGACACGTTACGGCTGAAAAACTCTCAGAAGAAAGCAACAGAAGCATCACTGGAGGGGAGAAGTTTAAGAAGAAGGAAGCAACATGGATTAGAGGAGGCACAAGCTTTTCATTTACTAATCCTAGTATAACTTTCTCAGATATTAAGCAATCTGTATGAAATTGTGCATGCTTGTTCACATTATAACTGGCTGTAGCCTAATTTAAGGGAATGCCAATATCATGATTGTGTTCATTGTTGTGTAGTTTCAAACTTGTAATTTTTCACACACAAAAAGAGCAAATTTCAGGTAGCTTTACATAAAATCTATTCAATGTGTACTATTTTCCAAACAAAGGGCTACACTCACACTATTTTGTGTATGTGCAGTGTAATTTTGAAAGAATTTGGCTGTACCATTTTCCTACAAATAATTCTCAAGTAACATATACATTTTTCGTATTTTAAAATTTATTTTTCACTTTAAAAACCTATTATCTCATATATATATATTGAAAATCATAGAAGTCTGTTTTATATGATAGCCTAATCATATGGTCATCATGTCCTAAAATTTGAGAGTCCTATTTTTAAATTATAATTGTTTAATGATTTTTTTTCTAACACCACTGATTCACTGATTCTTTGCTAGTACTCCCCACTAGTACTTTCCACATAGTTATCAGTTCATCCGTCTACATACGACTCTGGTTTATTCTTCCTCTTCTTCTTTCGTTCGCTTGAAATAGATTATCTATATCTGCACTGTTGTCTCTAGTATGAACTTCACTGGTTTTCTTGGGTTTTCTAATGCAGCCGCATTATTTATTTCTCTATAGGTATTTTCACCAATTCATTCGTTTACCCCTCTGCCAACACATCCATCTATCATTTATAAATTCCTTCATCTTTCACTAGGTATGTCCATCATTTCAACAATTACAACATATTTCTATAGGTGTATTTATCCTTCATCGATTCACCCATCTGTCTATAAAGTTATCCATCACTCATCGATTCACCTATCTTTCTATAGGTAAAGTACTCATGGCTGCATCCTTACGGCCGCAATTTGTTGTTGTCTAAAAGCTCCACCCTGGCTGTTGCCGGGAGCCCTAATATAACCCAAGCCAAGCTATTGGTTGAATGGTGTTTCTAGGAGCTTTCCCTATGTGAACCTCATCCGACTGGTGGCACTTTGTGTCACCGGGCGCTTATCCTCCGTGTCATGTCCCTGTAGGGGTTCAACGTCAGTCAGTCAATCGATAGGTTTATCATTCATGAATTCAACCATCTTTCTAATGTATTTCTAGTACTCGTCAGTTCATCCATCTATTCAAAGGTCACTCCTGATACAAAACTCTCCATTCACTTCCTCTCATATGTCCCTCCTTGCCTGATTCACACCTAATTCCTCATTTAGGCGCTCTTACACATATTATTTAATGTAACCTTTGGCTTATGACAGCATTCGTTCTTATATAATCTTCAGAATGTGTCATTTGTCCCTGTAGCTATCGCTTTTTTAGCCAAAAAAATTGACTGGTAGCATAGGGAGGACATGAATATGCTTTGTATGGGATATCTCTTTGTGCTGAATGGAATTGTATGCACATAAAACAATGCAAATTCTCCTTTGAAGAAGCAGATTTAACATTGTCATATTCTGTCTACAAACAGTATTTTTTTCCCTATCGAATCACCCTGTTCTAGCTAGTCTTTCGTGAATTTCAGTAATCTTCCCTCTTCTGTGCTGTCTGAAGTCTGGAGTTTGAGTCTCGACGTCTAATCATGAGAGGTATCCACTGCGTGTATCTTTTGGTTTCTTGTCGGCACAGCTATAAAAAAAGATAGGTCTGATAAGGACTACAGTGGCTTCCTCCAAAGCAATTGTCTTAGGTTGATTTCGCACTGGCGGATATCTGCATAAGGTGTCTTCTGTACCACTTGGTTGCTTTCCAACTCAGGTTCTGTTTCTGTTGTCTTAGGACACCCTCGGCTCTAAAAACACCATAAAATCTTCATCCTTTATGTAATTTATCATCGTCAACATATCTTGACATTTACAAATCTCACTCTTATCTCTAGGTCCACGTAGGAAACAGTTATGTATACAGCCAAGTTTGCTGCCTATGTATATCACACATTTTTTCTTTCCGCAAGAAAAGGAATTATCATTGCCATCTCATCTTGCTACCTACATGCATTACATTTTTCTTTATCTCATGAAAGAATCAGTTATTGTTAACAGCTCCTAACTGGGTAAAACGTAGGTCTCACACGCTTATTCTCAACTCTACAGAACAGAGAAAGGTATCATTGTCGTCAAAACTTGTTATATATAAACATTACATGTATCTTCAGCTCCCAAGAGAAACACATTTATTATCGTCAGCTCTTGTTAGCATCGCATCTATTATCAACTCCACAGAAGAACCAGATTTATCGCCACGTCTGACACAGTTAACAGATCAACACAAGAGAGCTATTCGCGCCATCAGGAAGATCCGTTATTTCGTGGCCCGGAGGAAGTTCAGGGAAGCTTTGCGACCTTATGATGTCAAAGATGTTATAGAGCAATATTCTGCAGGTCATGTGGACATGCTGGGCAGAATCAAAAACCTCCAGGGCAGGTCAGTAGGGGAGTAGTCGTTGTTCTTATGTTTCTCTTATAGGAGATTGTCATAAAGATATACATTTTTGTTTTTGTTTTTAAACAGCCTACTGTTAACAAACACCACTATCGTGTACCATGCCGGTGCGCTTAAAGAAAATGGCTCGCTATCTCACACGATAAAACTAGTCACAAACGTGGAGCTGCGTGTGTTGAATTGCTTCCTTTCTATAAATGACCATACTAGTCGGGTGAGCGTAGCCACCGTCTCCCAGTGGGATATTTTGTCCACAGTGGAGAACTTGATCTATAATTGTCGTCCTCTATAAAACTCATTTCACCACATACTCCATTAATTTTGGTTATCTTGATGTTCTTCTTTAGAGGAGAAACAAGAAAAGGGCAGGAGGGGAGAGGGGAGGTGGTAGCTAAACAAATGCTCCACCTGGCCAGAGGGAACGGTAAAATGAAAACAAAATAATCAGTGTCTGATTCTCAGTCGGGTCCTTGAAGGGCTTACAGTTTATCTACATGATGTTGGTGAATACCAGGCACTTGCACATCGATTGTACCGAACTCACGTGGATATATAATGCATGAATGCTGAGCTGATTCAAGAACCGACACAACAGAACTCTTGACATTCCCCTAAGCGCTCTGTCCCACCTTCAGAAGTCAGCGCAGAGTTCCAATATCAATAATGCCAATATTAGTCTGATTATATGTTCGTCTGTTCCTTTCCTCTGAGCGTCAAGCATCGGCCTAATTCCCTTGTAACTCCATCGCTGCATCCCTTTCACTAGACTGTCATGATCTATTTGCTGTTCCGGATTGCACACGTGCTCCTTTACGGCCTTCACTAAGTCGGCTTTTTTCGTCAGTATTACACAGTTGTGCGAAGCTAGCCAATCTGACCACCTGTGAATTTCCCAACACATCGGAATAACCTGTAGAAAAGATCTGGACAATGCTCCTAATCCTTGAGCTCCAAATCGAATCACGCCACTCTGCACAACACGCCTACCCGCACCTTCCTCAGCATGCTTTCTAAATGCGATGGAATGGAGGAGCCGATAAATTGGTTACAGAATTAAAATAGTCGGTAATGCAAGGATGCATCCCATGCACATAATCGGGTGTTTCTTGTACATCCCAGGGACTTCTTCTAGACAGTAAGTGACCCCAGTCCATAATCAATCACTGAGGTGATTAAGTGCTGTTAAAGTGTGAACAGATTTATCTGCCCCATGTCCATCGCTGCCATAAATTTTAGTGCATCAAAACCTTTTTGAGCCTTGTCACAACCCCCTTTATGTGATCCTTAAAAGACAAACTTCTGTCAAAGGTGATACCCAGTCTGCTGTCTCTTTTAATGTCCCTGCCATTTTATGTTTCTGGCAACATCAGATCAAACAATCCTATTGTCCAAAGAACACCACAGGAAGGTTTTATTTTCTGGGTTGATTACAGCACTTATCTTTGTACACTACCCAATCACCTTATTTACTGTCACGGAGGCACAGATAGATCGTTACAGTCTAGGCAGAATGGTGCTGCGAGGAATTACCTAAGGATCTGGCAGACGCTCAACACTCAGGGAAAAAAGAAGACGCATGTACAATCAGACAGTTACTGGTGAAATTTGAATTGGAACTCTTTTCTTGCTGCTGAAAATGGGGACGGAGGGCTTATGGGGGTGTCCCAGGTGATGTATTGTCAATTCTTTATTCAACATTAAGCACTCCTCTAATATTACTACTGCTGATAGCATTGTTATTGCTTTCGCATAAATGGATCCAGCAGTCTTTGGGATACCAGTGAATGTATCTTCCATCTGTTGTTAGAACTTGAAACCTTTTCAGGGTCTTTAGTTTTCGAAATATTCTACCGTGGGATGTATTTGTTTTGCTGTAGTGAAAATTCTCTTTGGTTTAATCGTAACTCTTGTAGCAACTAGGGAATGGTCAGTAACACCGTCAGTACAGTGGTAGCTGCGAGTTAGTGATACATAGTTTAAGGGCTGCCTCCTGGTAAGAAAAAGGTCTAGTATATGCCAGTGGAGAGATCTCAAATGTTTCCGTGGCACTTTATGATCGTCTTTAGTTTTGGAAAAAGTATTATGTGATGCACAGTTTACTTCAAGTGCAGAATTCATAGTCTGTGCCCGTTTTCATTCATGTGACTAGCAGTCATACGATTTAGAAATTGCTTTCACTGCATTATCCTGTTCCTCATAAAAAGAATCCTTTACATCTTTTAACAATTAGTTTTTACAGCCTGCCATTCGGATTTTGCCCTAGCTTTAAGAACCCATTGACGCATACATTATTGGCTGGGGCTGCCCGACTTTAGCCGGGCGGTAGCTGATTATTGATATTCTAAAATGTCTCCCATCGTCAGAAGAAACCCGTGGCGCTCTCGTCTACGCCAACTGTGCAGGACTTTTAACTCGCTACTGCTGCCTCTCGATTTGTTTCCGAGACTAATTATGGCCAGGAATGACGTACGTCATCTCCATAGCACAGAGCATGAGAAGTATTGTAGAGAACATTTGTTGTCCATGTATCATTATATATATATATATTTCTCTCTCTATCTTTCTATTTTTCTCTCGGCCTACCATGTTTACTCCAAAAAGAAATGTAACACCAGTACATTTGAAACAAAGCAGGCTGCAGAATCTGCCAGATCTTAAGAGCAGTGCTATGTCTGTCCACCAGTCAGAGCTTCCCTCCTAGACCAGATGCCATTCCAAGCTAACGACCGTAACAAAGAGTTTTCAGGCTGCACTTCCCCTTCCCAGGTTTAGGCTAGTATCCTCCCCAGTGCGCTCCTCTGTCTGAAGCAGTTGGAACAATATGGGATGTCAGCTTTAAACTGCTATTATTGCTAATAATATTGCATATTATTCAATGTTGTTGTTAAATCGCGCAATTTGGAAATAAATGGCATCTGTTGAAATGTATGATAGACACGGATTAACATAGGCTAGATAGACACGGGCTAATATAGGCGAGACACGGACTAACATAGGCGAGACTCAAACTAATTTATGCGAGACACTGATTAACACAGGCGAGACATAAGCTGACATAGGCGAGACATGGTCTAACAGTGACGAGACATGGGCTGACATAGGTAAGACACAGGCTGACATAGGCGAGACACGGGCTGACATAGTCAAGGCTCGGGTTTACATAGCTGAGACACTGGTTGACGTAGGTGAGACACGGGCTGACATAGGCAAGACACGGTTGGACACAGGCGAGACGCGGGTTGACAAAAGCGAGACAAGCGCTGACATATGCGAGACACAGATTAACACAGGCGAGACATGATCTGACATAAGCGAGACACGCTCTAACATATGCGAGACACGGGCTAACATAAGCGAGACGGGCTTGCACAGGCGAGAGACGGGTTGGCATAGGCGAGGAACAGGTTGACATAGGCGAGACTCAGGCTGACATAGGCTATAAACGGGTTGGCATAGGCGAGACACGGGTTGACATAGGCGAGACACTGATTAACACAGGCGAGACATGATCTGACACAGGCGAGACATAGGCTAACATATGCGAGACAGGGCTAACATAGGCGAGACCTGGGCTGGCATGCGTCATAGACGGGTTGGCATAGGCGAGACAGGGGTTGACATAGGCGAGACACTGATTAACACAGGCGAGACATGATCTGACACAGGCGAGACATAGGCTAACATATGCGAGACACGGGCTAACATAGGCGAGACCTGGGCTGGCATGCGTCATAGACGGGTTGGCATAGGCGAGACACGGATTGACATAGTCAAGGCTCCGATTTACATAGCTGAGACACTGGTTGAGGTAGGTGAGACACGGGCGGACATAGGCAAGACACGGCTGGACACAGGCGAGACGCAGGTTGACAAAAGCGAGACACGGACTGACATATGCGAGACACAGATTAACACAGGCGAGACATGATCTGACATATGCGAGACACGGGCTAACATAAGCGGAACTTGAGCTTGCACAAGCGAGAGACGGGTTGGCATAGGCGAGGAACCGGTCGACAAATGCGAGACACCGGCTGATATAGGTGAGTCACTGGCTGAAACTCGGGTTGACATAGGCGAGACACGGGTTGACATAGGCGAGACACGGGCTGACACAGGCGAGACACGGGCTGACACAGGCGAGACACGGGCTGACACAGGCGAGACACGGGCTGAAACAGGCGAGACACGGGCTGACTCAGGCGAGACACGGGCTGACACAGGCGAGACACGGGCTGACACAGGCGAGACACGGGCTGACACAGGCGAGACACGGGTTGACATAGGCGAGACTCGGGTTGACATAGGCGAGACACGGGTTGACATAGGCGAGACACGGGCTGACACAGGCGAGACACTAGTTGGCATAGGCGAAACTCGGCCTGACATAGGCAAGTTTCGGGTTGACATGGGTGGAGGAGATAAATTTCACTTCTTTTCTGCTTCCGTTTCAGCTTCAAACCAATCATTTAAACTAACAATGGTGAAACTATGGGGGTGACTGCAGTCAAGCTAATACAATGAATTCCAGAGAAATATGACTAAAAAGCTCAACAAAATAGGAAAAAGGAAAACGTGCACAAAACAACACAACGTAACGTTTCGACCGGGCGGCCTTTTTCAAACAGAAGTGGACTACACAAACGAGGAATGGAGAGTATGTAGATCTCTAAGGGGTGACGTGAGCGACGTTTAAAAAATTTGATGCGGAATAAATGAAATAAAATAAAATAAACGATGGCTAAAAAATATAGTCACAATACTGGGAATAAAAGAAATGCAAGTGTTAATGATACATAAATGATATTGATA